GGAGGTTGCGGTGAGCCAAGATCGCGCCATTGCCTCCAGCCTGGGTAACATGAGTGAAACTCCGTCTCAAAAAAAAAAAAAAGGGAGACAGTAAGACATAAGCATGAATTTCTTAAATGGAAGAAAGAGATTTGGGCTTTAAGAATAAAATACCAAAGTCACTAAGAGAAAGGAAAGCACGTTTCCAGTTGGAGTGAAAAGATGATGGCTGAATAGGCCCTGAATAATAAGAAGGGTTTTGATAGAGGTAAGTGTAAGCATTCCAGATATATAGACCAGAGACATAGAGATGACAACTTTGTAGACCTATTCAAGGAATGGCAAGTGGTCCAATTGGGGTGAAGTATAGTAGTGAACGATTGGAAAGACAAGTTGAAGCTGGAATATTAAAGATCCAAGAAGTTTGAACCTCATTTTCTTAGTAGCATAAAGATTTTAAGGGTTTTTAGAAAGTGCTATCAACAAAATACTGCTTTAGAAAGATATATCTGGGAATAATGTATAGAGCAAACTATAATATTGAACACAAGAAGATATTGTATAATCCAGAAGAAGTATAAGGGCCTGAATATGCACCTGACAACAGAGCCCCCAAAATATATGAAGCAAACACTGACAGAAATGGAGAGAGAAATAGACAAATCAATAGTAATAAATATTTGCAGACTTCAATCCACCTCTTTATTTTCTTTCTTTTTTAGAGATGAGGTCTTGCTCTATTGCCCAGGCTGGAGTGCAGTGGTATAATCATTGCTTACTGTAGCCTCCAACTCCTAGTCTCAAGCAATCCTCCCACCTCAGCCTCCTGAGTAGCTAGAACTACAGGCATACACCATCACACCTGGATAATTTTTTATTTTTAGTGGAGATGGAATCTTGCTATGGTGTCTCGAACTCCTGGGCTCAAGCAATCCTCTCACCTCAGCCTCTTAAAGTGCTGGTATTACAGGCATGAGCCATTGCACCCAGTCCCTGTTTAATAATGAATAGAACAATAGGCATAAGATCAGCAAGGATATTGAGCACTTCAACAATATTATACCCAGCATTTTTATGTCTACATTTGTAAGAGATATTGGTCTATAGTTTATGTACAATGCTAGATTATAAACTATACCTAACAGACATCTATAGACTACTCAAACCAACACCACCAGGATATTCAGTCTTCCTAAGTATACATGAAACATTCTCCAGGATAGACCATATGCTATGCCTTTTATGCCTCAATAAATTTGAAAGTATTGAAAGAGGCCAGCCATGGTGGCTCACGCCTATAATCCCAACACTTTGAGAGGCCGAGGTGGACAGATCACCTGAGGTCAGGAGTTTGAGACCAGTCTGGCCAACATGGTAAAACCCTGTGTCTACTAAAAATACAAAAAGTAGCTGGGTGTGGTGACATGCCTGTGATCCCCAGTACTCGGGAAGCTGAGGCAGGAGAATCACTTGAACCTGGGAGGTTGAGGTTGCAGTGAGCTGAGATTGCACCACTGCACTCCAGCCTGGGCAACAGAGTAAGACTCCACCTCAAAAAAAAAGTGGTGAAATAATAGAAAATCTATTCTCTAACCACAATGGAATGAAATTAAAAATCAATAACAAATAAATTTGGGAAATTCGCAAACATGAAGAAATTAACACAGTCCTAAATAAATAATGAATCAAAAAGGAAGACATAGGGAAATTTAAAAATACTTTGAGATTAATAAAAACAAAAATACAACATACCAAAACTTATGGGATGCAGGTAAAACAGTGTTTGGAGGGAATTGTATAGTTGTAAATGCCTGTATTAAAAATGAAGAAAGGCTCCTGTAGTTTCAGCTACTTGCGAGGCTGAGGTGGAAGGAACACTCGAGCTCAGGAGTTCAAGACCAGCCTGGGCAAAACAGTGAGACCACATCTCAATTTTTTTAAACTTTAAGAAAGATCTTAAACCAATAACCTAGCCTTTCACTTTAAAACACTGAAAAAAAGGAAGAGCAAACTAAACCCAAAGCTAGTAGATGAAAGAAAACATTAAAAGATTAGAGCAGAAATTAATGAAATACAAAATAGAAAAAAATAGAGAAAATCATCAAAACCAAAAGCTGGTCTTTTGAAACGATTAACAAATACTGACAAACCTTCAGATAGCCTTAACAAGAAAAAACAGAAAGAAAATTTAAATCACTAAAGTTAGGAATGAAAGAGGGAATATTACTACCAATCTTGCCAGAAGGAAAGGATTATAAGGAATTACTATTAACAACTGTACACCAACAAATTAGATAGCCTAGATGAAGTAGACAAATGCCTGGAAAGACAAAAACTACCAAAACTGACTCAAGAAGAAATAGAAAATCTGTATAGACCTGTGACAAGAAGTTAAATTAGTAGTTTAAAAAGTTCTTACAAAGAAAACCCTAGGCACAGTTGGCTTTGCTGGTGAGTTCTATAAAACATTTTAAGAAGAAATA